ATTTCACACACAACCCAATCGTGTCTTCTCTTCAACCTTACCCACCCCTTGGTTTTTATGCTCAGCTCTACCTTCTCCAGCTTTACTAATTATTACTCATACAGCATCAGGGCACACATCTCTGTGGTGCTTCCTTTTTGAAGGAAGTCAGTTACCACCCCACCTCCAAAGGAGGAGTACGTCTCCCTTGCTTTCTATGGCTTTCAGGTGATCCTACCTCTTCAGTGTTTTTGTCCTTAAAACCTGCCTTTGAGGCACACAGTGTCTTTCCACTTATGGACAGTGACCAGAGTCACCTTTCGTAAGTGGAAAGGAGAGAGAGACTTGTGCTACTTGAGAGGCAAGAAGGGAAGAGAGCTCCTAGGACATTTTGGGCACTCAGCAAAGAGAATTTTAGGGTCCTAAGCTCCAGGGCCAAGTCCCCCTCATCAGCAACTGTTGAGGTAGGAGCAGTACCCTTGGGCAGCATTGGATGAGGAAGGCAGAGAGTGTTTGAAGCATCTTCCTCGAACATGCTGGTGGAGGAAGAACAATGCCCTTGGAGCTCGTTGGAAGGGTGGGCAGTAAGGAAGGAGAAATGCATGCAGGGCACGTACCGCCTGGAGTTTCTCTGTTAGCTCTCGACGCCTGTTACGACACTTAGCAGCTGCCAGCTTGTTCCTCTCTCTCCGGATCCTTCGCTTCTCTTCTTCCTCAGGCGACAGCTGTGGGCAAGTGCCAAGAAAATCCAATCAGATCTGAGCAAGGCATTCCTTTAAGTTTGTGAGGATTTAACCACAATGCAAAGGAAAAAAGCCTGATCCAGCAGGATGCTGAGCACTCCCCCTCGTCACTGATGTCAGCAGAAGATGAAAGCACACAGTATCTCTGCCTGCACCAGGTCTTAGCAGAAGGGAGAGAAGGAGCAGAGCACAGGGAGAAGATTGTGTAAGAGGACAGTGAATCTGCACCAAGGCCAAACAGATAAAAGATGCTCTGATTGTTTCACAACTTGGGTGGTACGTTAAGCAAAACCAGAGCACGATGTTGTAAGTGCCTCTTTCTTGAAAGAAAATATCTGCTGCTTCCCACACAAAAATAGTTGTTCTCTTGAAGGTCGGGATGGTGTATAGGGGGAGACAGGGAAATCAGCAGAGCTCCCATGAAGTCCATGAAGCAACAATGATTTATACCACCCAAAAATCTGACCTCAGATTTTTGAGCACTCAGCGAGATAACACACTGCTTCTTGCATCAGCGGGCAAGGCTCCAGTGATATCAAGGGCTTCCTGAGGCCAGCTGACATCCTCACTGATGTAAATCAGGAGCAATTCCATAGAAACCCATCCAGCTACACTCTTGCGAAACCAGAGGAAGTGAGCAGGAGCTCACAAGACCTGGCCAAAGCTATGCCTAGTTTTGGGGGTTTGAGACAAGTTTTACAAACCGCAGCAGCCGCAGATAGGTTTGTGCCATGGCCAAAGCCAAGGAGCAGTACAGCAGGGCACAGAGTGGGCAGATGTGACCCCGCTCTCCACTGTGGCACCCACGGTGCAGGAGCCCTGCAGACAGCCCAGCTAGGGGATCCAGCAGGATCCAAGCAGACAGAGCAGCACGGGGATCCAGCAGGAGCCATCCAGACAGAGCAGCACGGGGATCCAGCAGGATCCAAGCAGACAGAGCAGCACGGGGATCCAGGACACGTGCCCAGCCCTTCATTCCAACCTTGTGCCCTACTCTTCAGCCTCACCCCGCCCGTGTGCTGCAGGGACTCTGGCCTGGTGATTGTAAACGAAAGCAAAACCCTGACACCTGGCAAAGCCCATGTCAGATCTCACAGAGTGCCAGCACAGAATGGTAAAAAACACTTCTCTTCAGAGAAGGCCCAGTTTTAATATTTTCACGGACTGTCAATATCACAAATGAGCCATTCACAGTTCTACTATCTTTTCTTTTTAGTGTTAGTTTTACTCCAACTTCAGCCTAGTTTGTTTTGGCTTGCTCTATCTCCCCAATGTTGATGTTTGCAGTTTCAGTAAGTTAACTTCAGCCTCTGGGCATTCAGCTCGCTCATTTCTGCTTTTTTCAGGATCTGATCTGTGCCTGTGATTTCACCTGTATGTAACATGAGCCCCTGGATGCTCAGTGAGCACCACAAGCAATTCTAGAACAGCAGGACATAGAATTTAGGCCCAAAATCTTTTTCCATCAGCAGCTCACAATGTCCATCCTAGGGTGAGGGTGTACCTCCATTCTGCTGGGCAGCATATTTCCCCCAGTAAGGAGCCCCTGCAGGCACTGCTCTCCCTGCTCCCACTCTCTTCCCACCCCATACGAGTGCAGGGTAAAAATGTAGTTGCACACAAGTATCTACAGTATGGCAAAGCACTGAGCATGCACACAGAAGCTATGCTGACTTGGGGCCCCTGTGTAGAGTTTGAGAGCCTTTTTATGCTTTGGAAGCACAGATCTCATTGAAATATGTTTGGAGTAAAATTTCTGCTCCAAAGGCCTTCAATAATTTAAAAATTATCTGTTTCAAAGACTGCTTTGCAAAAATTGCAGAAACAGGGCAGAAGCCCCTAATCTGGATGTTCTTAACATTTTACCAGGTCTAAAAAGGAATATTCCATCAGTGGTTGCTGGATTTGTTTGAAAGTGGTTGGATTTGGCACTCTTTGTGCCCCTGCTGTACGCGTTATTCGTAGCTTGTCCAAGCCCAATACGTGCATTCACTGTCGGGAACGTTCATCAAAACAGGCTCTTTTCATAAAGTGTTACACAAGGTTTTCCAAAAAGGCACTCCGATGTGGCGTTCAAAGCACCAGCCGTGGAAGCCTGAGCCAAAGGGCCACAGTAAAGAGCCCGGGTACTGCCTTAGCACGTGTCTAATCAAAAGGACTTGGCTTTGAATGACCCACAATGAACGGCTTGCAAACAAGCCACAGGCCAGGAATTGCTTGGCAGGCATCCTTCAGCAAATAACTCTGAACAACAAATAAAGCAGAGAATATGGTGATCTCTTCACGGCCAATTTGTGAACACAGAGGCAGCATTTGTCAAACAAATTAGTTGTTGCTAATTATTCCTCCAGCTCTGTGAGACTTTCTTTGCCTTTGGACACCAGCCCTGCATGCAGGGAACAGGGAAGTAGCTCCAGCTGGTGGAAAAGGCTGGCACGTACCCGAACCACCACGGCTACTCCATCCTTCCTCCCAAAAATGAGTCCTCACTGCAGCCATACCAGCTCCCCACACAGAGGTACTGCTAAACTCTATCTTTAACCTCTTGGGTCTAAACCAGACAGCAACTCCCCACAAAATAATCGGACTGTGAATCAAAACAGATGACGTAGAAGTAAAAGTAGGGCTGGTGAGTCTTATTAGAAACAGACCTCACGCAACAGCATGCGCTCGTGTCTGGAGGGTGTGCAGCGTGTCTCACTGCACTGCTCTGCAGCGACCCACACAAATGCTGCTTGGGAACAACTTGGGGAGATCGAGTTTAGTCAGACCTAGTTTTTTTGTTAAAAGAGAAATCAGCCTAGCATTGTGAATAGTTGTTGACCAGACAGCCCTGGAGAAGGCTGATTCTTACGAAGAGGAGAACAGTGCCGATTTCCAGAAGATAAGATGCCTGCACCTAGTCCACCAGATCCAGGGTCCCAGTTTGATAAACCCATTAGGAGGTTGAGAGCACAGGGCAACAGTGGTACAAGCCACCTCATGCCAGTTAGAAAAATACCTCTGGGTTTGGAGCAGAAAAATCTCTTATGGGATCCCCACCAAACTACTGCAAAAAGATCAAGCAATTACAGGTTTGTAGTGGGAAGGTGGGTTTAGACCCCAGTCCTCCAGAAGGCTCTTCCAACTGGAGTTGAGGGGCTCTAGGGAAGCTGTTCCTCCCTGCATGCTGCTGGCTGCTACTAGGGGTATCACACAAGTGGATTTTGGAGCAGTGCTAGCAGCTACAGAGCTGACAGAAAACACAAGCTGATGTAATTTGGTGTCAGATTTGTAAAGGACCTACATGAAAGCTGCTCTGCTTTCTTGGAGGTTTCCTTCTGCCTAGAGCGGCAGAAACACTCAAACTGAAACCCAAGGCTCAACTTCAGAGTTTCACCTGCTTTTGAAACCAAGCCGCAATGCGGGCTGGTGGTGTGAAGTGTTGGATGAAGACTGGGTAAATCTCACCATATGATGAGGAGGCAGCAATAAAAGTCACCCTCCAGCTTACACCCTACACCACCCTAAGAAGCCCCAGCACGTGAACAGTACCAGGGATGGACCTCAGTGCTCCCCTGTGGTGCTGGGAGATCTCATGGGGGGGGGCAAAAAAAATCTCTGTACATCTGTTTTCAAGGCACTCCCAGCTGCTGTCCCCTCTGCAGTTACCTGCTCATCTCTCCGTCTCCGTCCCACTGTGGTCCCGATGGTTTTGATGACACCAGGACGCTGCAGAGCCGTGTGTCCGGCCACTGAGGACAGCGGGGGCAGCGGGTGGCTGTAGGGGTGCGAACGGGAGTAAGGGCTCGACATGGAGGTGATGACGGTGGGCTGGACCATCCACTGCAGGTCTTGGCTGGTTGTGATGGCGTTGATCGTAGGGATAAAAGCACTGCCTGATCCTGGCATATCTACTCGAAATTTCTAGGAAGAAAGACAAAGGAGAAGAGGGACAGAGAGCAGAGAAGAAACCATCAATGAGAGCAGAACATAAGTGGTTATTCCAAAACCAGCTAGGCCCTCAGGAGCGGCACCAGTGAGGATCAAAGCAGCACCTGAAGCAAGAACACCAGTAGCTGGTGCTGCTGCCCCTGCCTGCCACAGCCCTGAGGAAGGCACTGGGCTCAGGCACTTCCCTTCCAGAGCAGCCCTGCCCTCTCCCAACCCCTTTCCTCTTCCCCCACACAGCTCCCCAGCACACCCTAACCCAACCTCCCCTCCCAGGCACCGTCCCCACTGCTGCCACCTCCTGCCAGTGCCCACCACTCCTTCCGGCATGGAGCAAAAGGGGAATTAAGGAGTTTCTAGAGAAACACTTCTCTTTAACCCAAAGAAAAGGAAGAGAAACTTCAGTTCTGAAATGCCACTACCAAGCAGAGCAAAGCTTCCTTTCACCAAAGGATTGCCCTGAAATTTGGGCTTGGTCCACGTAGAGCTTGGTATGGCAAGAACAGCAGTCTGCTTCTCCTTCAGTAGCTCTGTGCTCACTGAGAAACCCAGCCCTGAGATGGTTACGTGCAAGGATATGTATTTTAATAGCAGCCTATAAAGTAGGTCTTAGGATTCAGATCGGACAAGTTCCCTGCAGCTCTCTGCACTGTCTAGACAAAACAAGGCAGCAGTAAAACCAAGGCAGCAGGTAATGATCGCCTCCAAAATACATGTACACCTTCTTTCAGACAGAGGTAAATCCATCTGGATAATATGCTGGCACTAAATTGCAAGGAAAACAATCGCTTGTCCCCGGAGGGGGAAGCAGGAGAGAAAGAATGTTTTTGTCTATGCTGAGCTCCTTCAGGAGGCTTTCAATGGTTAGACTGGAATTAACTCGCAGACAGGCCTTGCTCCAGCAATCACTGAGCAAGGGACAGGGCTTGTAAGACACACAGCTGTCACCAACACTGGTCTGTAAGCCTTGAAATGACTCCATGAAAAATGCACATTCCAGGGTCAACAACCTAGCTTCCCAGAGAAGCAAGAGCCCTTGCATCAGCCTGACCTCAGCTCAGGTAAGCGTCCCAGATAAGGGACACAACACAGATTTCCTTTTCAGGGTGTGCCCAGTCAAGCACCTTAAGAGCTTTGTTAAACCAAGGCTACTGCAAATAGTATTTCACATGCTGATAGCTACAGCACTTCAGGCCAGCATTAGCGAGCTGCCAACACCTGTGAAGACCAGGAGAGCCAGTCTGAATACTGAGAGCTGCTGACTTACACCTCTGAACAGCTCAAAATCGAGCAAGGAAGGATGAGAGAAGGAAGGAGTGAGTCAAGTTAAGCAGGCGGGGAAATTACAGAGAGAGGATGACACTGGTACTAAGACCTTGGCAAAACCCCCAACAGCACCTCAGAGATTCACTTGGAGCTTGAGTCCAACACAGCCTCAGCTCATTTCAGAGTCCATGTCACCTCCCCCAATTAGTTAAAGAGGCACTGAGCCACAAACTGTCAACGCTGCATCAGAATTTATGGGTGCAAATCCCCTCCTTTGCTCTGCATGGTGCAGGCTGTGACCACAGGCACAGAAGAGGATGCATTGGTGCCTCCATAACCAGAACACAAGAGGACCTTAACCTCACAGAAGGGAGGAAGTGCGAGACCAGTTGAACCACGAGCTCAACTCAAGGGATGTGAGCCCTACTTCCAGATCCGCAAGTGGCTTCTACCACGACCATTACCTATCTGTGCCACCACCCTCCCTTTCACAACCAAAAACCAGAGAAGAAAGGTCCTGTCTTCCCTGCAGGGACACTACAAAGCTATGACTGTAAAACATCCAGAGAGCTTCTGGTGCTTTGCCATAGGGACACCACTGGCATTCCAGTGCTAACCTTTGCCTACACGCTAATAACGCGCTAAAAACTCCCAATAGAGGTTGTGAAAGTCCGTTCCACCACTGAATCAACCACATAAAATACCAGCATCTGACACAAAAATCAGGCTCCAAGTATCGACTTAGCAAGTACTCCATTTCTAATCACACCTGTATTCAACCTAGGACCCTTTTGTAACACTAGTAGAGGTCTCCCGCACAGCAAACAGGAGTTGCTCAGTTCAGGCATATCCCTTGCAGCTCCACAATGCTTGCTTGCAGACCTGGGGAGAAGAGACCAGTTCCTCTCTGTGCCATGCTCCATCTCTGTCACCAGCTTCCCTTCTAAGAACTCAAAAATACCTTAGAAATAAAAATAAAAATCCCCCAAACCTGTATTCTGTACTTTCCAAAGGCAGTATTTTTCCTGGATAACTAATTAAGGGACACACTGCTGTGGCAGGCTGAGTCTTCAGACACAGTGTGCTCAGTCTAACGCCAGGTTTTACAAGCATTGCTTCCTGACTGATCAGGCTTTCCCCACATACCTTGCTTTTCTTGCTAGGACGCTGCACGAGATCAGCTCTGCCGTGCCAAAATGCTGCTGGGCACCACATTCTGCCCAGTGGCCAGCAGCTCTAACCCCTGGGATGCTGCTGGTTGCAGTGGCAGGTCCTGAATTCCCTGTCACCTCCCCTGCACAGCCCCTTTGAGCACCACCTTCCTCACATAGAAGTGCCAGAACTTTCCCCCCAAACTACAGCCCCATCTTTGCTCTCCTCATCCCTCTTCCTCTCACACAGCTTCAATGTCCCTGAAAGCCTAACAGCACTTCCCACCCTCACCCACTTCTCCTCTTTCCAGACCCCCTTCCTGCCTTTTCCTCTCGCAGGACATGCACAGCTCTCCTCTCCTGACCCACGAGAGGCTCCTGGAAGCAGCTCTCCGCCAGCTTTCAGTTCTTCCTCTCTGCAAGGAATTCAGTGCACTACAGAAAGATGAGGCGATAGGCAGATTGCAGGGCTACACACGCAGCACGCGCTCAGCCACGAACCCACCGCTCTCCTCCTGACCCAAGCAAACGCAGATGAAGGTATCATTAAAAAACCCCAACAACTAAACAGCAAACAGAAAGAGTCCTGTTATTAAGTGTGCCAAGAACTGAGGTCAGTCTCTGCTCTGCCTTAAAAATATGGGGTTGGATGAGAGCCTTCTCAGATCCACAGTCGGGGGAGGCTCCAGTGAGTCCTGCCACAAGCAGGAACAGACTACGTTAGCAGCTCACAACTTAGCAGCACAGACAGCACGGGGACATTTCAAGCTTTGGCTGTGTGTTTCCTTTCTCCACCTTAAGGTTTCTGTAGAGCACCCCACTGTCATCTTTGGTCCACTCTGGACCTTCACTGACATCTGTAACTAAGTGCTGAGCACCAGGCGAGAAATCAGTATAATGGCTGGGGAAAAAAAAATGAAATCCAACAGCAAAGCGACTGAGAAAAATCCTAGAGCATCTTCAACACTACTCAGTTACCAAATATAGGGCATATGTGATAGATCTTGCAACAAATACAAGACCCTTGACAGCTCTCCTATGTTGAACATCTCCTTGAAGGAAAACTGGACACAATGCTATAATATCTCAGGGGAAGCTTGACCACTCTGAAAGAGTACACAAACTCTTCTCATTAAAGTCTATGTTTACCACATGGCAAGTCAGTGATTAGGAAAATAGCATGACATGCAACTTAAAAGAAAAATGTTCCAGTGCTGTGCTGTATGGGAAAAAATAATTAAAAAGGATCAAAGTTTTGGCTCAGAGACACAGTTTCCATTTAAATATGTGACTGATGCATCTTTTCTTGCTTTTTGGGGGAAAAAAAAGAACACAATAAAGAAAAAATTTCAGCAATGCATATTTTCTGTAGTGATAAAACTGCAGCTCTCCATAGACCAGAATCAGCAGAACAGTCCAACTGCTAGGGTAAAGGCAACGCTTACATTTGATCCTAATCTACAACATCTGTAAGGATCAAGGGAAAGACAGAGCACAAGGCCTTGAGAAATCTCCCGGATTCTTAAAGAAAACATTTATATTCTCACTAAGCCAACGTCCTGCTCAAAGCCCTGTCTCAGATAGTAACCCTAGAAACTGGGCTCTGGTCCCCGTATCAGACGGCACGCACACCAGCTGCCTGGGGAAGACGTGGAGCCCCAGAAAAGGGGGAAAACCCAGTTATTGCTCAGACTGTGACAGCTCAAATGTGAAGCAGTGACGGAGTTTCTCGACCTCCTGCAGCAAGTGCTTGAATCCAGAGCAGCTGTTAAATCACAGCAGGAAAGGGAGAGTGAGAATTTGCAGTTTGCCGGGCGTTTCCAGCTTCTCAGCCCCCTTTCCCGCTCCCCCACCCTGCCCTAGCGTTTACTGTAAAGCAGGGAATAAGCTTTATCAGAGCTAGAATCCCTGGAAACCCCAGTCCGCAGCCCGCAGAGGGCACCAGCGAGATGCGTTTGGAGCAGGCGGGGAGCGGCAGCGAGTCATTTCTGGTAAAACTTCTTTAATGTGAGGAATGTCACGGGCTGGTACGGCTGGCAGAGTTTTAGACTGGACTTTTTTCCTTTTTAAGTTTTTTTATCTTTTAATTATCCTATGACTCCTTGATGCGAAGGCTACACTGTGCTCACACTGCCAGTTCGCTCATACAAGCCACACAAGAAATAATATTGTGAGAAAAAGGGGGTGTGGGGGGGTGAGAAGCCCAACTCTGAAAAGGCAAAAAAAGAGTGAGGCTGGGCCAGCTGATGTAAACAAGTTATGAAATAACTCAGGTTTGTATAACTGGCCCGATTGTGTAATGCCTTCCCCAGAAGTGGTAGATTTAGTCGATCTAGGCATATAAGTCATTTCGAGGTATTTTCTTGGGAAAATGAAAGGGGAAAAAAGACAAACCACAAGACTGGGCTTTCAGGTCCGTCAATTCACGCCGCTTCCACAGGAAATATTCCCCATTCTCGAAGCGCCGCCCGGTAGTGGGGCTTGAGCGGGGAGCGGGGCCGGGGAGCGCGGGGAACGCTCCGGCGAGCCCCAGGGAACTCCCGCTCGGAAAAAGGCACGGCCTGCCGGGGAGCGGCCGGCGGAGCCAAGGAGCGGGCGGGCAGGGGGCTGAGCACAGCGGCACGCCGCCGGCCCCGGGGTGCCAGCGTGGGCCCCGAGGCAAAGGCAAAGAGAGTGTCAGCGTCTCGGAGACGAAGTTTAACGGGGGAGAATCGGGCAGACAACCGCAGGCGCTGGAAAGACCCAGAGCCCGCTTCCAGCCATCCCTCCGTGTTCCACGGCGGCTGCGACAGCTCCGTGAATAACTCGGGCGGCACCTCCCAAAGTCCCAGCGAAGCCGCCCAAAGTGCTGCGGGCGAGCCCCGGGCACCACCCGGGCAGGCGCGATGAACGTGGACAGCGAGAAGCTCCCAATGAGAACAAAAGCAGGAAGGAGGAAGAGTTCGGTGCGCCCCTATATTCGCGTTACCGGCCTCGCAGAGAAGTCGCCCGTAGAGCCCTTTGGCTGCCGAGCGGGTCCCGGCCCGGCGCTGCGGCGGCTGCCCGGCCGACAGGCGGGGGCTCGGCACCGACAGCCGGCACCCCGCTCCACCTGGGGCCGGCCCAGCGGAGACCGCCCGCCGGGCGCTGCCTCGCCGCTGTCCCCGCTCGGGGCAGGCCGTGCCTCCCACAACAGCCCCGGCCCGACAGGCGGGGAGCTCCGGTCAGCGTCCCTCCGGACGCGTCGCGGCACCCGCTCCGGGGCGGGCGGACAGCGAGCGAAGGAAAACGGCGGCGCCCCGCTCAGGGCGGGCGGCGGGACGGAGCGGCGGCTGCGGACAGCCCCGCGCCCCGGCACCGCCTGCGCCCCCGCCACCGGCGCCTCTCCGCCGGGCGCCCGCGCCTCCAGCGCGGAGGAAGCGCCGGCCGCTCCCCGGGCGTGGCGGTGAACTCCCGTCCCGGGAGCGCTCGGAGCAGCCCCCGGAGGGACCGGGGGAGAGGGGCAGCGCCCGGCCCTACCTGCTGGGCTGCGCCGCTCGAGTAGGTCTCGGGGTGTCCCGGGGAGCCGCTGCTGCCTCTGGAGGAGGTGTCGAAGTTCCCGGGGTAGTCCTGGTACATGGTCCGAGGTCGGGCCGGGGGAGCCGCGTCCCCGCCTTCCCACACCGACACCCGCCGCTCCCTCGTCGTCTCCCCGCCCCCTTCTCCTCCCGACCTCTTCGGCTCTTGCCTTTCGCCTCCCAACGCTCGCCGCGGAGAGGGAAAAAAAAAAAATAAAAACGGCTTTGGAGACGAGGAAGAAAGCGGGGAGAAAAAGGTAAAAAAAAAATTTAAAAAAAGAAAAAATAAAAATAAAGGGATAACAAAAATAAAAATAATAACAATGATGATAAAAGTGGCTCAGTTAGCAGCCGAGCGCCTGCGGGACGGGACGGGACGGCGGGACTCGGCGGCGCGGCGGGAGCAGAGCCGTGCGCGCAAGCGGGCGCTCGCCGATGTCCTCTCTCCGCGCTGCCCGGCGAAACTCGCCCCGCCGGCGGAGCGGCTCCGGGCCCGGGGGCTGCAGGCGGAGCGGATCTCCTCCGCCCCCCCAACCTCCTCCTCCACCACCACCACACACCGGCCGCCCCTTTTCCCCGCGCGGGGTGACTCAGCCGGGTCTTGCGCCCCGCGGCTCGGCGGCGCTGCGAGCGGGAGCTCCGCGCGCCCGCGGTGACTCAGAGCAATGGCATCGCCCCGGCCGCGCTCGCTTATTATCCGCCCGCCGCCGCCGCCGCACCATGTGCACTCGCACACGTCAAACCCGCGGCGCACCGGCCCCACCTTGGCAGTGCGGAGCCTCCCACCTGCCGCCGGCGGCGGCGGGGGCAGCGCGGCGCCCTGTTCCCGGCAGGCCCCGCCTCCCCCCGCCCCGCTTGGTGCCGTCCGCTGTCGCACGTTGCCAAAAATGGTCATTTGCGTCGCACGACGCGAGCGCGGGTTTCCTTGCCGCGGATGACGCGCTGCGAGAGGGATTCCCTGCCCGGCCGCCGGGATTTAAAGGGACAGGCGCACCGCCGGCACGGGGCAGCGCGGGGGCTGCGGGAAACAGCGCAGATCTGGCCCCGCAGACCGGCCTGCCCCGCCGCGGGGCCCCGGGGGTTTGATCCAGCCCTTCTCCCTGCAGAAGGGTGGTTGGCACCAGGGTTGCCCCAGGGCTCGGTCCGTTTTTCAGCACATCAATAAACCAAGCGTTGGACTCGTCTAGATTTTATAGCATTATTAAATTTGTTTTATTTTATTTATTTTATTTTTATTATTTTATATTTCTATTATTTTGTATTTTGGTGGTTATTACTTCTATAATTTTAATTTATTTTCATTAACTACGTTTTTCTTTGATTTACTAATACTGTGTGCTATTATCTTATTATTTCTTTTTAATTTTAAAATATTTTTCCTATTTATTTCTCATGTAATTTTTTTATTATTTTAATTCTTATTCAAATTGGAAAACTATTATTACTTTCCCCCCTTATTTTAATTTTTAATTATTTAATCTTTACATTTATTTTTACTTTTTAAGTGGACTCCTCCATCTTCCTGGGATCTGCAGAGCCACTCTAGGTCTCCAAACCAGAGTATGTCACAGGAACATCAGGTGACAGCCCTGGGACTCGTGGGACAAGGAGTGTGCCAGCCCGCCGCGGGAGGCTCTGGCATTGCCAGGTCACTGACTAGCACAGGCTGGAAGGTGGCAGAAGCAGATAGAGCAGAGCCGTGCACACACAGAACGCGGGCTCCGAGGTGATCTGCAGCCAATACAGCAGCGATGCTGCTTCACAGACTGTTTCAGTCCTGCTCCTAGACACCAAGTGTCTCGTTTCCACCCTCCCTGGAGGATTTGCCCAGCGTTGGGCAAGTCCTTTTTGCTGGTAGGGAGGGAGAAGTCATCTAAGTTCAAGCTATAAAATCCCATTTAAGCTGTCTCACGGACAAAGTATTTTCCCACAGGAGCCCATCTGAAAGCAGTGGGCTTTCCTCCACTCACACTGAGCTCCTTGGAAGGCAGAAGCAGCACCCATCTCAACCCTGGAGCCTTCGGGGAACTCTGAAATGAGGCACCCATGGGGGCTAAGTCTTCAGAACTCAGTTATTTTTTAGCACTGACCCAGGAATTTGGGACTAAAATTCTTGCTGATGCAGTTTAGTTTTCAGCACCTTCATTATTCACGCAATTGAAATTCTCCCTCCAAGTTAGCTGGCTTATTTCAGGCAGCACCTGACTTTGGGGGAGGTGGGGAAAGGGCTGTAAAAATATACCCATGTTTCCAACTCGAAGTGCACTAGGAGTGAGGGGTGGGAGGGGGAGAGGTGCTCTAGCAGGCACAGTGAGGCCGTGATGTGTTTTTCCCTTTGGGTGGCAGGTGATCAGCACATGCTGCTTTCTGCTGGAAAGATAATTAGTTCAAGATGTGAGAGGACTCAGGCTGCAGCTGTCAAGAAATGAAGAGAGAAAGGGTAAAACAAGCACCAAAATAAATAAACTTAACAAAAGTCGTGGCTGGGTTTTGGCTGGTCACCACCCCCTGCTCTGCCTCCCCCTCAGGTGAAGGATGCCGCTGGCTCCGAGGCATACAAATGTTAGGAACCACTGCCATCACCTGAGCTCATCAACCCTGGCTCTGGTCCTGTTTCACATCAGGCTGGTGGGCTTGTACAATCCAGTCTGCTGAGCAGCAAGAAAAATGCAAAAAAGTATGCAGGGAAAGAGTGACAGCCAGAAACAGAGAAGCAAGATGGGGGTGCTGGAGCATTAGTGTTGGAGCATTCTGCAAGAGGAAAAGAGAGGTGTTTTTCATCCCTCCTCCTAGAATTGTTTCTATACTTTATCTTCAGCAGTTCATTAACCTAAACTACCTGCCCTCCTCATGTTTCAGCTCATGCTCATTTTGAATGTTGTTTTCAAACCTTATCCCAACATAATTTTGGCACATCTATCCTGTCCTGCCGAATTTGCATGAGACCTAGTATGGGAACAGCTAATTTGAAATTACATTCGAGGGCTGTTTTAATATTTGGCTGCAGCTAATGTGGATGCAATTAGTTGACACTTGTAAATCCTCAGGTTAAAAGCCCTGTAAGAAATGCAGGAAGCTGAACGCACACCTGAGGCCAAGCCCTCAGCTCCTGCGGGGTGAGGAACCTCCCTGCCACAGCTGGACCGGCACCACCTTGCCCTCCGACAGCTCCTGACCCACACCCATCAGACGTGATGCTGAAGCTTTACTGTGTATTTACATTGACTTCACTGCAGCTCCTTTTGCCCTGGGAGCACAAAACCCTGCTGGCTAAGACAGCCTCACACGTACAAAAGGGATTGGTACATCCCATTGGGAAAAAATATTCCGTCCGATTGAGTCTCCTCATTCCCGTATCAGTCCCTTCGTAATACTTCTTATTGTTTTGGATTGAAGGAACTCAGACTAGCCTGGCTCTCAGTACCCCAGACACATGCATTTTTAATAGTCATCCAGACCAAGCTGCATTGTGCAATAGGCTCCCTGCTTCCAAAAAAACAAGAGATAACATGTACGCCTGCCTAGTCCATTCTTGCCTGAACCAAAGACAAATTAAGACCAGCCCAGGTTCCAGGGCAGGAGAGGATCATTGTAAGGCAAATGAGACTTTGGCTCCTCATGCTTCTCGATTTCGGCAGCAATTAGGAGCCTGAAACCCAGACCTGGGAATGCTTTTCACGGTGTTTTTACGGGAACAGTGGATAAGGGCACTTCGCAGCAGCTTAGGCTTGGCCCTCGGCAAGCACGTGGCCATATGCACCTCTTCTCCAGCATCCCCAGCAGGGCTGGGCTGCACCAGCCGCACCGTGCCGCCTGCCTGAGGGCAAGATCATTGATTTTCAATTTAAAATATTTGCAGTCATGATTCTCCTTCTCCTTGCTCTTGTTGCAACCCTTCCGACATCTCCTGTGAAGAAGCCTGCAGTAAACACCTTAAACGTGTATTGCCACCAGTGTCAGAGAGCTCAGATGTGCTGTGGCTGTTCCTGCAGTGGGGCAGGGAAGCTCCTGGACCAAGGGGTGGCTGCAGGAGAGGTGAGACTGAAGCACGCTGGTAGGGTGTGGGGAGCTGCAGGACAATCAAGACAAATCAAACTCTTCCCCATACAATTCCTCATGTCCTGTTTTAAAATTCACTCCCACCTCCCTGCAAATTGGTGCTTTCTCTGTCACCGTTCATTATTACACAAGTGACTCTTTTGTTTCCTGAGACCTTTTCCTTGAACTCTCTGGAGAAACACATATCCAGGGCTCTCCAGCCCTTCCTGACAATTCTGCTTTCATCTGTGCGTGAAGTCTGCTTTCATATTGTCTCTTTAAGTGCTAAGAGCAAGTGTTTTGATGTTAACTCCTGGGAACGAGCTCTTAAGCTACCACCTCACGCTTAATTACAGTTATTTATTAAGTACTCCAGCATATCCAAGGGAGAACGGAGGTTTTCTCCTTCAAAGGGCCTCTGGATGTGGTTCCTCAGATACTTTTTGTCAAGCACAGAGCTTTTCCTACCCATGTCCTCTTGGACCACGGAGTCCTCTCCCCTGCTGATAACCCCAAGGCATGGGGCCATGGGGCCTCCCTCCAGCAGCACAGTGTATCTTTAGGGCAGGGAGGCACTCCCCTCAATTGTTCTCAGCTGAATGCAGCCACACTGTCCCCGTGTTCAAGCATACAGCAGGCTCTGCCCCACATTCCCAGCAGGATGAGTGCTGCCATACTGTCCAGTTTAGGGTAATGACACCAGTGCTGCCACTCTTACTGCTGCCAGGTGATGTAGTGGACATAATTTAACTCTTTTCCAGTCCTGGTGCAAATAAAAGCCCAGGACAAAGCCAGAAGCTGTGATGCTCTTCCCTTTTCTGAAGCAGGGTTGGGTGATGCCAAGGGCCTGGGATACAGGTGGGGAAGCAGCAAGGCAGTCCTGCAGCAGGATGGGCACTGCTTAGTC